GGAGATGACACTTTGAGTCAAAAGCAAATGGCAGAAATGTTAAATGTTGCACAACAAACAATTTCTGACCGTTTAGAACCTATGGGAAAGATCCAAAAGTGTGGAAAATGGGTGCCACATGAATTGAATGAAAGACAGATGGAAAATCGAAAAAACACTTGTGAAATTTTGCTTCGAAGACACGAAATAAAATCGGTTTTGCATCGGATTGTTACTGGCGATGAAAAATGGATTTATTTTAAGAATCCTAAACGGAAAAAATCATGGGTTAATCCGGGACAACCATCAACATCGACTGCAAAACCAGATCGATTCGGCAAGAAGACAATGCTGTGTGTTTGGTGGGACCAGAAAGGTGTGGTGTTCCACGAGCTCCTAAAACCTGGTGAAACCGTCAATACTGATCGCTACCGACAACAAATGATCAATTTGAACCATGCATTGATCAAGAAACGACCAGAATGGGCCAGAAGACACGGCAAGGTAATTTTTCTCCATGACAATGCACCTGCACACAAAGCAAAACCGGTTCAGGATACAATCAAAACACTTGGCTGGGAGCTGCTACTCCACCCGCCTTATTCACCAGACTTGGCTCCTTCCAACTACCATTTGTTTTCATCGATGGGACACGCATTGGCTGAGCAGCACTTTGATTCCTACGAGGAGGTCGAAAATTGGGTGTCTGGTTGGTTTGCTTTAAAAAACGAACAATTTTATTGGCGTGGTATCCACAAGTTGCCAGAAAGGTGGTCAAAATGTGTAGAAAACAATGGCCAATACTTTGAATAAAATGTTTTATACTTTCCCATTAATAATTAGTGTTTTATTTTCACAAAAAACGCTCATTTCATACCGGTATACCTGGTATATATATATATATATATATATATATATATATATATATATATATATATATATATATATATATATATATATACATATATATGTATATATATATATATATATATATATATATATATATATATATATATATACATATATATGTATATATATATATATATATATATATATATATATATATATATATATATATATATATATATATATATATATATATATATATATATATATATATATGTATTACTGTTATTATTATTGTATAGTATATTATAATAATTATAGGGTTTTTATTTGTCAATATAGGAATACCAGCAATATTGCAATATTTTTTTGGAGTAAATAAATGAATTTTGTTGTCTATCAAAAATTGTGGATTTCAAGTCCAGAATTTAAATCCATAAGACACTTTAGTTAACAACACTGTTGAAAACTAACCAAAAGTCTCTAGAATCAACATCTAAGATAAGATACAAGGTTTAGTAAACTGAGAATAACAGAGATTTACATCAGACAAGACTTTGTTTATACATTAGCTTATTGCAATAAGTAAAAAGGACAATTTTTTTAAGAGAGATGTTCTTATAAAAAAGCTGAAAAACGTAGTTAATGTTGAAGGATGTAGAGTAGAATGAGGCTTGATTTAAAACTGAAGAGAAGTAATAAAAGCTTCCAAGCTTTTATTCCAGAAGCAATATAAGCTTCCAAGATGCACTTTTCGCACACATATTATGGATATAAGCATATTTGTTTGCTATTTGTTTAGATTCTGGCATACAATATCCTTTTATTGTTGTATAAACTTTAGTATTTATATAGTGTAGTATTTGTCGAAAGAGAAAATGATCAGATGGATGTGTGGTGTGACTCTAACAAGATATAAAAATTAGGCATAATCTTAGACAGATTAGAAAAAACGTTGTACCAAACAACCTTTTTTTTAGAAAAAGTTAAAGTAATTCAGGTATTAACATGTAGAGTAGTAGCAGCTTCAGTATAAAATGGTTGTGGTAGAAGTAAGAAAATTTGAAGAGTGTGCCTTACATAGTGCCATAATAAAGATGATGATGATTATTATGATGACGATCAACAACATCAACATAATTTTTATTATCATTGTCAAGCTTTCCGCTTTTATGCTGTTGATGATAATGATGATCATGATGATTATGATGATCATAATGATGATGGTGATGATGATGGTTATGATGATTATGATGATCATGTTGATCACAATGATGTTCATATATGCATATATATACAAAATATAGTATGAATTTTAAATTTAAAAAATATACTTTAGGATGTATAAATGTTTATGCAGGTCTCAAACCCGGCCCCGGCCCCGGCTATATTTTATCAAACCCGGCCCCAACCCCAGTCAAATATCAACCCCAGTTGTTTACTACAAAACATTTCAAGAATAAAAAACTTCGTGTTATTTTTAAAAAGAATTACTTATTTTATGCTATTATATATATATGCTATTATATTATGCTATTATATATACTTATTTTATGCTATTATATATATATATAAATATCAACCCCAGTTGTTTACTACAAAACATTTCAAGAATAAAAAGCTTCGTGTTATTTTTAAAAAGAATTACTTATTTTATGCTATTATATATATTATTTTATGCTATTATATATATATATATATATATATATATATATATATATATATATATATATATATATATATATATATATATATATATATATATATATATATATATATATATATATATATATATTTTTATTTTTACTTTTTAAATTTAATAATAATCATACTAATTCAATAACATTTTTTTAACATTTGCTTTCAGATTGATAATGATACAAGTTTTATTTTTTGATTTAGATTCTGTATCTCAATGATATCCTGGCTTATCGATACGATATCCTGTAAATCCACTCACACACATAAATTTTATTCACACACATAAATCTTGTAAATTCACACATAAATCTTAAAAAAGATTTTTATATTTTTATCTATAAATGTAAATTTTATATAAATAAATTGTATATTTTTTATGTTTTTCATTGTATATTACTATTTGTATTAAAAATCGACTTTGGAAATATTGCAAGTGCAGAGTTCAACATACAATTTTGTTTTATTTGCAAATTCAATATACATTATAACCAAGTTTAATCACGTTTAATAATATTTTGCGATATTTTCTCCAGCGCATTTTAGCGTTGATTTAACGTTATATTTCAACCTTTACTCGACGTCTTTGAGTCACGTTAAATCGACGTTTTACTACCAACGTTACAAATCCTTGCAAAATCAACTGCTTTAACAACGTTAAAGTAACGCTTTTCAAGTAACGTTTTTTCAACGTTAAGTTGCGGCGCCTATGCAACGCTTTTTAAGTAACGCTTTTTCAACGTTTAGTTGAGACATTTTTATAACGTCTTTTAGTAACGTTTTTTCAACGTTACGCTACAACGTTTAATTAACGTCTCTTTAACAACGTTACATATCTTTGCAAAATCGATTACTTCGTCAACGTTTCCGCAACATCTTTTGCGACCGGTTTTCAACGTTGATTCAACGCTGACATGTTTGATGGGGAGCTTTTAAAATGCTAAAGCAAAATAAAGCAGTCGGACCTGATGATATCAATGGAAACATTGTTATTTATTCCTATGATATCATAAAAAATATCCTTTTTAAAATATTCAAATGCTCAATTCAACAAGGAATTTTTCCTGATGAATTAAAAATAGCTAGAGTTTCACCAATATTTAAAGGTGGAATATAGCGACACTATTTCAAAGTATGAACATAGAATTAATTAGAATTTCTGAATGGTTTAAATTAAATAAGCTTTCTCTTAATATTGAAAAAACAAAATGGTCTCTTTTTCATCCATGCTACAAAAAGTATCTTCTACCGAGTGAATTGCCTGCTCTTTCTATAGATGACATGCAAATTAAAAGAGTAACGGCTAGAAATTTTTTAGGAGTTTTTGTTGATGAAAATCTGACATGGAAAAAACACATTCAAAACTTATCATCTAAAATTTCCAAAAGTATAGGAATACTATTCAAAATAAGAAACATGCTAAATAGACATACTTACATACATAGTTCAGTTATACCACTCTTTTATTTATTGCCATCTAAACTATGCTAATGCGGCTTGGGGTAGTGTTGGCAAAACTAAATTAGAACCACTTTATCGCCAACAGAAACATGTTGCACGACTTATTAATTTTAAAAATCGTTTTTATCATGCTAAGCTTCTTTTAAACGAAATGATTATTCTTAATATATATCAACTTAATATTTTTAATGTATTGTGTTTTATGTTTAAATGTAAAACACGCACATCTCCAATTTCTTTTCACAATTTATATTCTTTAAAAGTTAAAAATAAATACAATTTGCGTAATGAAAATTTTATTCTTCAACCAGTTTTCAAAACTAATTTTGGTAAGTTTTGCATTTCATTTAGAGGAGCATTTTTATGAAACAAAGTAGTATTAAAACTTTTTGATTTTTCTCAAGAATGGAGCTTTCTCTTATTTAAAAGAAAGTTGAAAAAAATTCTTTTCTCAATTGAAAACATTCTTATATATTTTTAAGTTTATTTTATTTTATATTAATACTCTTAAGAAACCTTTTTATCGTAATTCATATATATAAAATCTTTTTTCTTAACTTATATATATATATATGCATGTGCATGCATATTATGTATGTGTATATGTATGTATGTGTATACCAAGCCGGCACAAAGACGTCTGTTAGACGTCTAACGGTAACTTAAGTAAGCGTCTCAAGTACGTCTTAAGACGTCTACCTGTTAACACATTTGAACACATTTTGGACGTCTCGTATAGACGTCTGTAAGACGTACTGTGTTAGACGTCTATAAGAGGTCTAGTATTAGATGTCTCTAAGACGTCTGATTGAAAACTCGCCTAAGCGTCTAAAGAACGTCTTGAGACGTCTATTTGTTAACATCTTTAAGACGTCTTGCTAAGACGTCTAATAAACGCTCACTCAATATATTCGGCACTTAAATTATATTTAAGTTATAGTTTATTATATTTAAGTTATTTTTATACGTTTAAGATAATAAACCAAAACCAAAGATAATAAACCATAACCAAAACATAAAAGAGATTATATATCTTCAATAAAACATTTAACAAATTTGTGTATACAGCTGTCATTTTTATACAGCTCTCTTTTTTGCTCGGGGCATTTCTAAGTAGGTTCTGAATAGCTTAATAAAACTCATTTTTCGTCATTTTCGGGAACTTAAATGTCACTATTTCATATACTGTTTTGTAATTCTCGGTTAACCCAAAAGCTAACTTTTTTCGACTTTCGGTACCCTTTATTTCACGCATGGCAATTCTTTTCATAATGTACTTAATCGTATCTTTGTGATCAAGCCCTTTAGTTTTACAACCTAAGAAGTAAAAGTCAGATTAAACTAGCAGTATCTAAGAGCATTAACACACACACATATATAATTATATAATAAATAAATTAAGTATAGGCAAACACCATTATTTGATACAAATAATAATACTAGCATATTAACTAATCTTACTTTTTGTTTAAGTAATGAATCCATTTTCATATTTTCTTCAAACAGGACAAACTTTTCTTTCCATTTTATACACTCAATGTCAAATAAAGATACTGGAGGTTGTTAAGAATTTCAAGTTGTTGGTAAAGACAAATTCTTGGATATATCGCTCATCCATTTAACAACTTTTTTGGAATGCCATGAACTTGTTGTTGAAAACCTAAAAAACATAACTATTTAATGTACTTTTTATCATTAAAAATTATATTATACAGTTCAAACGATTTTGAGACAATTCATACAATATTCTCAATTAAATACCAAATAAATTGAGCTATCTACTATTTAACTTTATCAATTTCTCTCGCAATAAACAACCTTCTAATTTTCTTGTCTACCTTTTTTTCTTCTGTTGTGTACCTTTCCTTCTTGTACAACTTGTGCCGGCCGGGTTATACTTAACAAGTCATATTTTATTTTTATTTACGTTTAAGATAATTAATAACCAAAATATAAAATTTACCCACAGTGCAGATGGGATGTAACCACAGTCCACATTTGCCCAAGGCCAAGTATCGTTATTTAAATTATTACAATAATAAATATATATATA